CCTGTGGTGTGCCATTACTTACAATAAAATCTGTAGAATAATCCTCCCCAACATATACTCTAATTTTCCTATCAGTGAAGACGCTTCCAATACAATTATATACCCCCCCCCCCATTCCCATTTGTTTTAATTTTATGAGCAGTCCTTCCCTCCACATTGAGTCATAGGCTTTTTCGATGTCAAAAAATGCAATTACTATTATTGCTTTCATTTTTGGTGCTTTTTCTATATCATTACTTACTCTAACTACCAAATCAGTTGTTGATCGACCTGTTCTGAATCCGCACTGGTAGCTAATTGCTAATGAGCTCTCTTTGTTCTACGTTATCCTGCCAACTAATATTTTCTCCATCCATTTACACATGTGAGATGTTAATGCTATCAGTCTGTAGTTATTGGGAATTTATTAATCTTTTTCTGGCTTATTAAATGGTGGTATTGTTGCTCTTTTCCAAATGTTTAGAATTGTTCCCTCTTTCCATATTTTATTAAACAGTTTTAGAACTAATTTTAAGGTTACTTCTGGGAGTTTACGAAACATAACATAACATAAATTATCTTCTCCTGGAGCTGAATATCCTGTATCATTTAAAACCGTTTTTAGTTCCTTCATTTGTATGTCTTCATCTAATGTAGATAAAAAAATCTTCTGTCTTTTTTCCTACATCACTAAATTCTTTGGAGTTTCTGTTCCTTCTGCTGTGTTTCCTATGTTCCCCATTGTGAACTGCAGCAAATGTTTCTCCTAGTACATCATCCTTATCTTTTTTTCACAATTATGTCTTGATCTCTAATCAATCAGAATCAGAATTCAGAATCGTTTATTGTCATTCACACACAACATCAAGATGCAGTGCAGAACGAAACGCAGTTTGGAACATCCGTCCGGAGAAACACACACACATGACAAACATGGGGGAACGAATGTCCAGGGTCTTTCGCAACTTAGTGCGCTACCTTTGCTGTTTAGAATACACACACAATAGGAGAGGTGAGCTAAAAAAGAGCTTTGATCCTGTGTTTTATACAGAAAAACACACAAGCATACGCTAAAAAAACTACTCTGCGACAGTACAGTCAGCTGGGGGTGCGGGGTGGGGTCAAAACACATGGTATGGGGAGGGGTTCAGCGGAGCCGGTGATATCCAGGGCACAACTCCGTGTTGAAACCCATCAGAAGACCTTCAAAAGTATAAACCAGTTGTTTTCAGTCACAGCACAAGTCACCAGAGTTCAGTTCTCTGTTTCCACCCAACGTGGCCTTCAGACTGATCCAAGCACGGGTGGAACGGGTAGGGATGGGGGGAGTCAAGGCTTTCTTCTCACGTGTCATTCCAGGGAGGTTTTATCAGCTTGCGTCCRAGGTCACAGCTGCAGGGATCCAATGATAAACATAATTCTTTAAGGCAAGCAGCCTTATTTCACTGTTTTAAGTCTTAACTGTGCCTCTGTGTTGCGAAAAATGCCAATAAACAGATTTGTTTACCACCTCGCCTCTCCCGCATGAAACTTCACTCAGGTGGGCACGCTGCTGAACTGTGGTTCTCGTCAGAACCATATCCAGTCTGCGACTTATATCCCCCAGCATTTGAGTCTTTGTGTTTGCAGTACGGGAAATCCCATCCAAGGTCCCTGACAGCTTTTCAAAGGCCCGGACTGCTGTCAGGATCGTTTTCATTTTCCGATAAACCAGGACTCCTCCACAGCCAATCAGCAGGAATCCGATTATCATAAATCCTAATATAAACACATCAGATTTCTTTCCTTTACTCAGACTGTCCAGCTGTAGGTCTATATTCAAACCAGTGATATCATTGATCCAAACCTTCAGCTCCTTCAGAACTTTATCTCTATGGCTTTAGTTTTTTGTAACTTTTATACTTTTCCAAATGTAGAACTCTTTAAATTGATCTTTCAAATCTGTTATTTACTGAAACTTACTATTATTTATATGTTTGTAGCTTTTAGCTGCTGTTTTGCTATAGATTTTAGCTGGTTTGCTTGTTTTAGGTTTTAGCTACTCTTTTGATTATTTGAGATTTAAAGTGTAACTAAAACCCAAATCAACTTTTTTTGGCAGATAAACAGTTTAAAATACACCTTAAATGTTACATATTGATATTTCTGTGCACATTTTGATGTTTTTGTGTAGATTAGTTTAAATCTGCAATATTTGGTCTAAAAATATCTCAGTGCTGCCCTCTATGGGTTGAACAGTATACAACACTCAGGTTGTTACAAGGTTTGTGTTACTCTGTAGTTACGAGAAAGTCTTGGGTGGAAGTGAGGGAGACTTTAGAGGTAACAGACAACGACCTGTGAGAGCGCTTTGTCATTGTTATGATTCTGATAAGAACCTTAAAGCCTCACTCAGTCAGGCGCTGGGAGACACAGGCTCTGAGTTACCGAGATGGAGTTTTTAATAAAGAGTTTTAGAAGAGTATTTACTTGGTTTTCTACTAAATTATTCTGGCTTCCAAGTTCCAATTATTCAGGTTTTTCTTAAATAAGTTCAAGTAATTTACCATCTTAGTTGAAAATGTTGAAGATGAAAATGAAAAGAAAAAAACACAACAAGCATACAGACTCACAAGGACACAAAATGACTGTATAAAGGCATAAAGATGGATGAAGTGATGAAACTAAAGAGACAAAAAGATTAAAGTGTCTGTGACATGCATATTCTTCAAATACAAAAAGTGAAAGAAAGCCTCTTTAACTTGATGTAAAACAAATAGTTTTACTCAATTTGTCAAATAACTGTCACGTTTGCTTTTGAATTTGGTTCAGCAAAATTGAAACAGGAAGTGACATCAAAGGGGAACTCTTTAAGAACTAAAACTCTTTGGTCTTTGTTTATTGAAACAAAATTATTTCAACTCTCTTTTTCATTTCTCTGATAGTGACTCAAAATAATAATTAAAAAAACATCAGATTCTTCTCTACAGTCTGTGTTGTTAGCCATTTTGGTAATAATGCAGACATTCCCCTTTGACATCACTTCCTGTTACTTCACATACAAATATCTCAACATCTTTTCATCTCAACCGCTTGAAATTTGTTTTGTAGTTTGTTAAGTGTTGTCTTTCCAAAAATGCATTCATAGTTATTACTAAAATTTAATGTCACAGGCATTTTAAAGACACACAAGGACACCAACAAAGACGTAAAGCAGACAAAAAGATCTATTAGGAGACAGATGAATAAGAAAACATGAAGTTTCATGTTGAGAAAAGACTGTTGTTTTCATAGCTGTCAGTGTCTCCATCTTCTCTCATTGATCAAATTTAAACCACAATAACATCTCAGTTTGTGAGCACAGCCATGTTGTAATTTTGTAGCTGTTTTAGAGACTGTGGACTCTGTAAACCCCACCTGCTCCCCCACAAACTGTCTGGAGTGTTTAGGCAACAAATAACTAAATCCATCGTTTCCTTTATCTTCCTCGCCGTGTCACAACATTGAATAAAACATTTGCAACTCACTCAAAGAAATGCATATTTCCTTTTTTTAATGCTTTATATGTTTATTTTTATTAAATCAGTGCACTTTGGTCAACAGTGTTCTTTTTAATGTGACATTTTTGGTACTTTTTATTTAAAATAAATATTAATAAAATGACCTTTTATAAAACCAAACCTTTGGAGAGAAGTAAACTAATGAGTTCATAAACTTTTTCAGTTTTTTTTTTTCAGGTTTGGCTCCAGGAGAGCGATTACTACACGACTACTCCCTCCGCTATCTTGCCGCTTCCAAAATAATAATAATAATAATAATAATAATAATAATAATAATAATAATAATAATAATATATATAAAAAAACAATAAGCTGAAAGAAGGTCATCCCACAAATGAAACCTGATATAAGTAAAATCTAATTATTGCAGCTCCACAGCAGCTCTGAGCTGCAGACAAAACATGGCACACAACTGTCAGGGCTTACAGGCTTGTTTCCATGCCAACAGAGGAGCCCCTCTCCCTCCCTGTCTCTTTAATGCACACACACACACAGAGACACACACATACTATCACTCGCTGGCTGTCTGTCAGTGTCTGTTACACACACACAGAATTACAGAGGAATCTGCCCGGCTTTCATATCCGTGGTGAGCTGCAGGGAGGAGGCTCGCAGCTCAGGGATCCTCCACATCTGTTTGGATGGTAAGTGCAGCCGATTGATGACTTTTTGTTCCTTTTCGCTGATCACATGATATCAGAGACAAACTGCAGCCTCTGCTGTGCTGCTGCTGCTGCTGCATGGAAGATGTTCTTTCATTATTGTCTGTGTAGGATCAGGGTGGACGCTGTCAATGGTAATTCATAGCTGGGTGGTGAAGCCACCCCCACCCCCTCTCTGCCTCTGCTGAATGCATTAGTCTAATGAGAAGTCTGCAGCCTGTGTGCCGAGCAGCAGCAGCAGCAGTGTGTTCAACACAAGGAAAAAGCTGCATGCAGCAGAAACAAGATGGCTTTTCCTGCAGGGCGAGGGTTTCTGTTAGCCTGTAGGCCTCTGGGATGTAAGACAAAAGGTCTGAGCTCCTGGGCTCCACAGGAGTAGACAGCAGGTAACAGAGCTCACTTTGTTTCTGTTATCAGTGCAGGATGGAGGTGCTGTTTCCCTCACACATCCTGCATGGCTGCTCTTTGTGTTGTGCTCCTCTAACAGATGGTTTAAACACTGAAACAACCCTTCTCCGTCCTTTTTTCTCTGGTCCACATTAACTCTCTGACGTGCACCTCCTGAAAAGGTGAGGAGATTTCATCCAGGAGTGATGTGAAGGTGTAAACATGTCGTTTCCTTTGTCTCCAGCTCCAGATGAGTGGACCTGCTGCAGCACCACACAAGTCAGACAGCAACACCGGTGACATGCAGGCGGCTGCAGTGGCTCCATCCTTCCTCCCCAGTCCAACGGGGAAGATCCCGGGCAGGAAGAGAGGGAGGCCCCCCCTCCGCAGCGTCGCAAAGATGGATTTTCCAAATCACTACTCGGAATCCCTCCCTCCGCTCAAAATCCCCAAGAAGAGAGGCAGAAAACCAGGCTTCAAGGTCAGACAGGAAGGGGAACTGCTCTGTGTGGCTGCCATGTCTTTAATAATGTATGTGTGCAGACAGACAGACAGACACACAGACAGACAGACACACAGACAGACAGACACACAGACAGACAGACACACACACACACTGACAGACAGACAGACAGACACACAGACAGACAGACAGACACACAGACAGACAGACACACAGACAGACAGACAGACAGACCCACAGACAGACAGACACACAGACAGACAGACACACAGACAGACAGACAGACAGACACACAGACACACAGACACACAGACAGACAGACAGACACACAGACACACAGACACACAGACACACAGACAGACAGACAGACAGACACACAGACAGACAGACAGACACACACACAGACACACAGACAGACAGACAGACAGACAGACACACAGACAGACAGACAGACAGACACACACACAGACACACAGACAGACAGACAGACAGACAGACAGACAGACAGACAGACAGACAGACAGACACACAGACACACAGACACACAGACACACAGACACACAGACAGACACACAGACAGACACACAGACAGACACACAGACAGACAGACAGACAGACAGACAGACAGACACACAGACAGACAGACACACAGACACACAGACACACAGACAGACACATAGACAGACACACAGACAGACACACAGACAGACAGACCCACAGACACACAGACAGACAGACACACAGACACACAGACACACAGACAGACACATAGACAGACACACAGACAGACACACAGACAGACAGACC